AGGTCTTTATGAGTCAATGCCTTGATGCATCAGAGCTGTTTTGGCAGCATAAAGGGGGCCTACACTATTGTGTTAGGCAGGTGGTTTTAATGTTGTGGCTGATCAGTGTGTGCCTTCTCAGTTGTTCCTGTAGAGGCTTGTCCCTGGCACCCAGTTATATATGAATAGCCTTACTTGTATAGTTAGACAGAAGCTCCAAACAAAAGGTGTTATTTTATGTAAGACAGTTGGTAAGCAATGTACCTGCTTTATGTATGTATATACATTCCTGCTAAACGTTATTGTACAGAAAACAACCTTTATCAACATTTGATGATTTGTTTAGATTTTAGTTTAGATTATTCCAGTTTTAATTTTGTCCTGTGGATCACTCTACACAGACAGGATGGAGTATGACATAGGAAAGAGGCTATGACTCCCAATGTAATGTATATGAATGTTCATCTAATTTTCATATTGGTCACATAGGACATGCTTGAAAATGGGGACTTTTACCTCTGCATTGAATGAATGCTGAAAGCCTGCCTACTTGGAGGGAGCAGGGGGAGCAATTCTTTGAATATATAAGATTGAGAAATCTATACAATTGCTAGAAATTTTGCTTGCACAAAATATAGATAACATTTCATGAGGAATTAAATACACGTTAGTGAAATGGGACATGGCAGATTCCCTTTAAGTGTGCATAGACTGTAATGCCAGATTGTCATATAGACTAGTTTTGCTTAAGTTTCAAACTTTGAATTAATCTCCCATAAAATTTTATGGTTGGTAAATGAACACCTTCTTTCAGAAGATATAAAGGTCATAACATATTAAACTTACATTAAGCATCAAAAGAAGATTTAGCATAATAAGAGACAGGATATCAAGCCTACTAATCAACTAAGTCAGGGAGAGTGATTCTCTTCACACCTGGTGGTGGTCAGAAGCTCACACCCACCACTGTATTTGTAGTCCTACTGTGTCACTTTTGTACTTTCTCTGTGTGATACAGAATCTCAGCAGTGAATTAGTGTACCGTAACTTATCAAGTAGCCAAGGGCAATGAAACCAAATTTGCAGAACGTAGATTACACACTCAGCATCTTTACCTACAATGTGAATCCATTTCTAGGCATGCGACAAGTCTACAAATCATTAGTATGATTAAAACATCACTTTAATTGGTTACTTGTGGTATGACCATTGAAATCACCTATAAAAACAGTATTATTACATTTTTACATTTGTTTTGCTTCTCTCTTTTAATTCACGATTAAAGTAAGTCATTTCAGAAGCTGTAAAGCTGTCAGTTTTGCATTAGTTGGGGTGTTAGTGGCACAATAATGGGATAATTTGACTTTCCAGAATTCTTTTTAATATAAAATCTAAGTATGTATATATTATTTTGATGAACTGCTGTACTGCATTTATTGCTATTCCTTTCATGCAACCTCGATTTAATTAGAGAAGAACATTAGAAGGCTATATTCCTTTTTAAAGACCTTTAAGTTAATGCTAAACTTTTTTTTTCTACATTTTTATATTATATTGAAAAAAAAAATGTAAAAATTCTGTGTGATTAATAAAGTGGTAAATGGCATATACTTTAGGAGATATAAGCTTTTGAATCCTTTTCCAGATAGCCTCAATGGGAGGTATAAATCCTGTACCTATTGTGATAGACCAGTGTTTTCACATATAATAAATACCAGCAGTATTTAAACTCATTAACCAGGTTATTGACTAAATTGAGAATTGTTGGGAATTCGGAGTGAATTCCAATTTCTTTGGGCCAAAATTTAGACCTTAATTTGAAAACCATCCAGATCTGTAAATAAGGGTCTTTCATTACACTCAATGAGAATTTCTCAAGATACCACGACAGCCTGACCTTTCATCTTTCTAATTAGCTTGGACGTGCTTTAATCTTTTAAAGTTGCATAGCATTTTACGCTGCTCTCAGATAAATAAAGCAGTGCCCCTTTAAGGATAGAAGCAATATTTTTGAGAAAATTTCTGCATAGCCTTCCACTGCCTCACTAAAGGATATAATTAAGTTCCTATAAAAACTAGAGATGGACAGGTAAAGAGAGGAACAAACTGGCCAAGCCCCTGCTGTGACAGCACATCCATTATGTGTTCTTGACAAGTATAATAAAGAGGAACATCCCAGGGGCCACCCCTGAAGCTGACCAAACAAATACTCTTAAGAAGCATTACAAGCCTGTAGAACTGAATTATGCAATATGTTGTGGACTGCTTTATATTAGACTTCTATGAAATAATCCCTTTTTGTTTTATAGACATATTAGTTATATGAAACACCGTGGCAGTTTAGCAGGATAAGTAGCAGTTACTGACCATTTCTCAGGCTATTTTAATTTATGACGCCCTGCGCTCAAACTACCACTACTCCTGGGCGGCAGCAATGACTACAGTACACATCAGACACAATAAAAAAAAAGACGAAGAAAAAAAGGTTACTTTTGATATTTCCCAAATTCCTGTGCACATTTATATAACTGGAGTTTTTTTCAGTATCACTCCAATGGCCATTAAAGTGTAAGCTCTCCTGCCACGTCAAGGCAAAACCTTTGTTAACAGTTTGTTACCGGTTCAACCTCTTAAGGTAAGATGGCACCCAGGACTTTCTTGCACCATAACAACTTAATTGCAATAAATTTGTTACGGTGCCCAAAGTGCCATTTTAAATCTGGTTTTAACATATATCATCGCTATGATAGTTCCTGCAACATTTTGAGATGTATTGTTTTTTTAACTCCTAATAATAGCACAATAATTACCAAAAAAAGGGCGCTAAATTAATCTGTAAATATATAAAAACAAACAAATAATAGTGCAGACCATCTGAATATATAATAATATAGAGTGAAGAAAAATCTGAGGGAAAAAAAACTCACATATCCCAGAGCCCTATCACCCCTGGCTCTGGGTTTGCAAGGCTCCTTTGGAGAGGGGATATCCCCACACTGAGAAATATTCCAGAAGATATGTCCACTGATGACTCTGTTATGCTGTATATAAAAAGAAGGGCAGGACCTCCAATTGAATAATATCACAGATCAGTTTTATTATATAGAAAATATTAAAACCCTTACTTGGGATATGGTGGGTATAGACTCACAGAGTCACCCACATAAAACACTTCCTGATCGCAAAGTCACTGTAAAACACTTCCTGATCGCAGTCCGGTCACTTGATCGCTTCCGGGTCCGCCCCTCCAATGACGTCCGTGTGATGCGTTTCGCCCGCCTCCACAGGCTTCCACCGACCGTAGAGCACTCAGGTGGCTGCAGCATTAGAAGGGCCATATACCCGGCGTATAAGACAACCCCCCACTTTGGAAAAGATTTTCCAGGGGTAAAAAGTCGTCATTTACGCCGGAAAATACGGTACTCCCAATGCCCAACATCAAAATAAAGCGAAAACATTTCAATAGATAGGATCAAGGTAAGAGGCAAACAGAAAGCTATTAACCAGCTATGAATTGGATAGGGCTCTTCATTTCACGAGTGGAAAACTAAATGTTTCACCTGTGTCACCTAGATTTATTAGCACAGGCTTTGGTTTTTCTTTTTACTTATTTCTCTCATTGTTTAAGTTTCAGCCTGTATGTTTCCTCTTTGATTATAGGACCACTCTAGGCACCCAGACCACTTCAGCTTAATGAAGTGGTCTGGGTGCCAGGTCCTTCTAGGGTTAACCCATTTTTTTATAAACATAGCAGTTTCAGAGAAACTGCTATGTTTATTAATGGGTTAAGCCTTCCCCCAAAGCCTCACAGTGAGAGCACGCCAGCGTCCATAGGAAAGCATTATGAATGCTTTCCTATGCGACCGGCTGAATGTGCGCGCAGCTCTTGCCGCGCGTGCGCATTCAGCCGACGGGGAGGAATGGAGGAGGAGAGAAGGAGGAGAGCTCTCCGCCCAGCGCTGGAAAAAGGTAAGTTTAAACCCCTTTCCCCCTTCCAGAGCCGGGCGGGAGGGAGACCCTGAGGGTGGGGGCACCCTCAGAGCACTATAGTGCCAGGAAAACAAGTATGTTTTCCTGGCACTATAGTGGTCCTTTAAGCTCTATATATGTTGCTGTACTCCTGTATTTCAGTCATGACTAGGCATTTTTCTGTCTCCTATATAGTCTACTAAATATCTAGTCTTTCTATTACCTTTGGCTGCTAATTATCTACTGCAGCAGCACCATGAGATTTTCTATTTACTTTTTCTTGTTCTGTAGTTCACTAAACAATTTGCTATTTTAGTGTATTTCAACTAATTATATAAGGAACACACAGTCACAATTTTGTTACCTTTGCTACACTATTGCAAGACACTGCTCTCTCTCTCTCTCTCTCTCTCTCTCTCTCTGTGATACTAAATATTTAGTTTGCCACTGGTAAAAATAAATAACCCTATCCATATCTTAGTTGGCTAATAGTCTTATGTTTGACTCTTAAAGGGACACTCGAAACCCTTAAAGCACTTTAACTTGCTTAAAAGTTTTATGGGTGAAGAGCATTAATTTTGCAAAAAGTGCAGCTTTCAATAGAAATTTATACTTTTATAAATTAACCTGGTTACACCCCCTGGCTTTTCAAGCAGACAACTGATCCTGTTACTTCCTGGTTTCATCAATTGCCCAGACCACCGACCTTGAAAATACTTCTCATTGAGCTGCATTGGGAAGTCTGTGATTGGACAGCCACAGAAAGTCTGGGTGGGGTTAGAAAGGGAGGGTTTACAAACGCAGCAGACAAGAGATTATAAAAGTTGTTTTCATATATTCCAGCGCTGCGGAATATGTTGGCACTTTATAAATACCAGTAATAAATAAATAATATATGCATCCAGTGAAAAAAATGCATAATTAAATGTATGCAATTTTCAATTGGGGTATATCTACTAAGCAATAAACTCTGCCACTGCCGGATGAAAAAGGAGGAGGGTAGGGCGTGGGATTAGCAATCTCACCCTGGAAAAACCTCAACCGCTACAGAAATGCCGAAAAGAGAAACAGAGACTAATTTTCTGGAAGATGGAGGACCTCCGACAATTCGGAGATGCATGATGATAGGTGGTGAAAGCCGAAATGAAGCCACCAAGCTAATTACCCTTCTTTCGACCAGGAGAACCCACATCGGCACATGGAATGCTAGGACCATGTACGAAACAGGCAAGATGAAGCAGGTAGCTGCCGAGATGAAAAAAAACAGGCCGATTCATACTGGGCATCAGCAAAACCGGATGGACACAAGCAGGACAGAGGAAACTGATGACAAGAGAGCTGTTGCTGTACTCCGGACAGGAAGAGAGTGACGCACCCCACATGCAGGGAGTAGACTTTATGTTGTCCAAGCAAGCACAAAGGGCACTGATTGGATGTGAAGCGCACGGCCCCAGAATCATCACAGCATCCTTCAGAACCAAGCAGAAGAAGTTTGAGCTCAATGTCATACAGAGTTACACGCCAACCAATGAATCTGATGAAGAAAACAAGGACGAGATTTACAATAGACTGCAGAAAATCATTCCGAGCCAGAGACATCGTCATCCTTATGGGAGATTTCAATGCCAAGATTGGACCCAATAACACAGGATATGAACAAGTCATGGGTATTCACGGGCTTGGAGTGATGAATGAGAGATTTTTGCGGAATTGTGTGCGATCTACAACCTGGTCATTGGAGCTAGCATCTTTCCTCACAAGCGGATCCACAAAAACACCTGAGTAACACTGGATAGTGTGACAGAGAACCAGATTGACCACATCTGCATTAGCAAGAAGTTTAGAAGATCCCTGCAGGACGTTACAGTTAGAAGTGGAGCAGATGTGGCATCGGACCACCACTTAGTAGTAGCCAGCATGCAGCTGAAGCTAAAGAAGAACTGGATAGAAACAACACAGTGTAGAGTGAAGTATGATGTCAGCCGCCTGAGGATCACCAGCATCAGGGAGAAGTTTGGACTTCAGTTGAAGAACAAGTTTGAGGTGCTACATGAGCTGCATGAGATAGAGGAAAGAAGCGGTGTACAGGCCAGCTGGCAGAAAATAAAAGAGACACTGAGAACAGCCTGTCAAAAAGTGGTCGGAGCAAAGAAACATCACCACAGAGAGTGGATCACAGCTCAGACAAGGCAAAATAGAAGACAAGATAGAAGACAGAAAACAGAAGAAGGTGGCAGTAAACAACAGCAGAGCAGTGAAGAAGAGCATTACAAAGGACAAGAAAGACTACATAGATGGACTAGCAGCTGAAGCAGAACAGGCAGCATACAACGACAACATGAAACAGCTGCATGACACAACTAAGAAACTATCTGGGAAATACAGCAAGCCAGAACGACCTATCAAGGACAAGGAGGGAAAGGTCATCACAGGACTAGCACAGCAGATGAATAGATGGTCTGGACACTTTTAGGAACTCCTAAACAGACCAGCACCACCAAATCCACCAAACATCATCCAAGCCAAAGAAGATCTCCCCATCAACTGCGGCAAGTCGACTAGAGAAGAGATCGGGAAGGCCATCACCCGGATGAAGAACTGGAAAGCAGAGACCCTGAAAGCAGACCTGAAATCATCAGTGGAGATGCTGTACCCTCTCTTCAAGAAGATCTGGGAGGAAGAAGAGATACCGACTGACTGGAATCAAGATTCCAAAGGTGACCTCAGCAACTGTAACAACTGCAGAGGTATCATACTCCTGTCAGTGCCAGGCAAGGCCTTCAATCGGATCCTCCTAGAGTGGATGAAGGATGCCGTCGATCCACAACTATGAGATGAACAAGCAGGTTTCCAGCAGAGTCGATCATGCATGAACCAGATTGCAATGCTACGCATCATAGTCGAGCAGTCCTTGGAGTGCACTTCTCTTCCGCAGCCAGCAGCAGATGCCAGAGAAGATCAGTGTGTTGGCAGCTACATCAGCTGGAGAAGACCAAGATCCTTAAGATCCTTAAGACCAACTTCAGCAAAATCAATTCAATCCCCGTGAATGGAAGTCTCCTGGAGGAAGTACAGTTCATCACCTACCTGGGCAGCATCATCGACCAGCAAGGTGGAACAGATGCAGATGTCAAGGCAAGGACTGGCAAAGCAAGAGTAGCCTTCATCCAGCTCAAGAACATCTGGGTTTCCAGAAAGCTAACATTGACCACCAAGACCTGACTGTTCAACTCCAATGTGAAGTCAGTATTGATGTACAGGGCTGAAACCTGGAGGACAACCAAAGCCACCAACAGAAGAATCCAGACATTCATCAACAGCTGTCTCAGAAGGATTCTTCACATTTGCTGGCCAGACACCATCAGTAACACCAACCTATGGGAAAGGACCTGCCAACTTTCAGCAGAGGCAGAAATCTGGAAGAGAAGATGGGGCTGAATAGTGCAAACCCTACGCAAACCGCCAAACAACATCACCAGGCAGGCTCTCAGGTGGAACCCCCAAGGAAAGAGGAAGAGAAGCCATCCAAGGAACACCTGGCGACGCAACCTCGAGGCAGACATCACAAGGATGGGCTACACCTGGAGTCAACTAGAAAGAATGACCCAGGACAAAAGTCTCTGGAGATCTACCTTGGCGGCCCATACCCCGGTATATCTACTAAGCAATAAACTCTGCCACTGCCGGATGAAAAAGGAGGAGGGTAGGGCGTGGGGTTAGCAATCTCACCCTGGAAAAACCTCAACCGCTACAGAAATGCCAAAAAGAGAAACAGAGACTAATTTTCTGGAAGATGGAGGACCTCCGACAATTCGGAGATGCATGATGATAGGTGGTGAAAGCCGAAATGAAGCCACCAAGCTAATTACCCTTCTTTCGACCAGGAGTAAAGTAGTGATTTTTAAAATTTATTTTGTATTTGGGCAGTGGCGTGTCCCTTTAATTTGATCCTATCTATTGAGACTGTTTACAACCATTGAAAAAAAAGTTAGGTTTTAATTGTATATTGATGCTGAGCATTGCTCTTCTTTTGTTTTTCTTTGTCTTTCTCATTGGAGTTACCGCCTTACTTTTTTTTTACCCAGCACCATATATAATTTTATTTCCCCATACTCTTTTTGTGTAATTATACCCACATACTTGTTTCCTGACTTTGTGTACCTCTGTGATGCTTGATCTTGGCTTGCCTTAGTGACCTGTGTACCTCGTTTTCTGTGTTTCCTTGACCTTTGGCAAGTTATACAGATTTCTCTTATTACCTTTTGCTGGCTATGAGCCTACCTTTAATTGCATGAAGCCCGAACAACCATAAGGACCAGTGATATACTGTGGCCTTTTTTATACTTTTATTATGCTTATTTATGCTCACACCTTCCAAGTTAGAATGCTTATTTATTTTACCTAGCACCAGTTTCTGCCTATTAAATTCTTGTGATTTATTCTGGTTTAAGACTTGGCGTGCTTTATTATTTATCCACTTATCTGTAACCCTGAGCTGGCTTCTTGATCTGATTAGTGATATTCCCCTGAACTTGCATAGTTCTTTAACTATATTTTCTCTCCTACTGGAAATTGTTGAGCTAAGGCTGGACACTACAAAGACCAGTATTATGGCTTTTATGATCTTTTTTTTACTTTGCTTTCTAACAAGCAGGAGACAAGAGTTCCACATTAATATGTGTAAGTTTCAGTCAATTGCTGACAACAGGCTCATTCCTGCTTCTCTTGGCATTATTCAGATTGGTCTTATGGAAGATATGTCTCCACTTCAATTTCCTGATCACTGATAAATCAGATGCAGGTTTATACTATTAGACCCTGCAATTTAATTTCATTTAAATTTATTTTTAGTGGTCGTTTTTTCCAGTTCAGTCAGTAATATTTTGATGCATTTTTTTTTACAATCTTTACTTACAATAGAAAAGGAAAAAAGTAATTTTAATTTAAAAAAATAACAGATTCACCTAAGGGTATACAACAGCATTTATCAGGTGTCAGTCAAATCGTAAATCACAGAGAATTTGTTTTTTGTTTAACATTAATTTGTAATTCAATCAGCAAAGGCTGGTTCTTCACCTTGAAATCGAAAAGAAAAAATATGTACTTAAAATCTCACAGGAAACACCGCTAATTTACTTACTCCTTTCAGAGTTCAATAAAACCAATATCATCCATGGAACTGCATGACTGTGTTTTACATAAATTTTCGGAAAATTTATGTAAACATTTAAATATATGCATAAAACTCATATAGCAACTCAGATGTATAAGCAGTATTGGAAAACTAAAAGGAAAAAAGAAACAACAGAAAAATAACACCTTGACAAAAGTGCAACCTAGACCCATGGGTAGACAATCGATGTTGGAGAAGTCAGGATGCAGTGGGATCCTTTGCATACATGGTGGGAATGTCCCTTGATTCACCATTTCTGGAGTAGGATTTACATGCTGCTCTAAAAATTATTGTCTACTTGTCATGCTCTTACACCATACAACTACCCATAAGTCGTTCTATAAGAAAGTAATGACCATACAGATATTAAAGTTTGGCAAAACCTTATACTTCTTTTCTGGAAAAATACAATGTCCCTACCTCTCAGCTTATGGTACTAGTGGAGAAGCTGGTTTCAGGCGCAGGGGGACGCACGCAAACCTATTGTCAGGTCCCCTGCCCCCGCGACCTTGCTTACCTTATCCCAGCAATCACAGTCATCTGGTCCCTTATCACAGTCATTTGGTCCTGTCTGCAGACTGGCAGTGTGTCTGATGCTGCACGCTCCAGAGCAGCTCCCTCATGTGACCCGGCACACAGTGATGACCTCAGAGACCACAATGGAGGGAAGAAACTCCTCCAACATGTTGTGGTTAACACTAATTGGAGATTAGCCAATCAGACACACCCTGTGTGTATATAAGCTAACCTCTACCTTGCCTCAGTGCCCTGTTGTGGTCTTTGGTTTACCATTGAGCATTGCACTTGTTATTTGGATTTCCTGGTTACTGATATTTGGTTTTGTCTCTCGTTATTTCCACCTCTCTAACCTCGACAATCCGTTTTTGCATAACCCGACCATTCTAAGGATCGGCATTGCAATTCTCTCTACTCTGTCCTGTCTGCGTGTTAGGGTTCCCACGTGAACGTTACACCTATTTGCAATCTGGACCCAGTGGGCATTGTCCATTTTATTGTGAGGGTTTATTATTCTGATTTAAATGACTATAGAGTAAGAAAGTTGCTGTTGCTCTCCTGGTAGGAACTCTAAACATTTTACAAGTGATACTGAAGAACATTGTTTGTTTGGAAACTGTAATATGTGTGAAATTGCATGACCAGTGCTATTTCAAACTAAATAAAAATTGATTTCCAAAAGAAAATGCAGATTGTTAGAAAAGACAAAGACATTGATATGTTTTAGATATCACCAGTTATCAGAACGACCTTCAAATGTTTACCCACATTATTTGTGAATTGGTAAAACTTGTCCTACCAATAACCGTTGTCAAAGAAGATCAGCAGAGAAGAATTATTTTACTGACTAAAAAATAAAATTTCCAAGTAACAAAAGCTACTTCATTGCTCACTGTCTTCTCTTTCTCCAAGTTTTCTAAATTCAGTAACATTGGAGATAATCCTACAGGGAGTGTTAAATGAAGTGTATCACATTTTTTGTCATTCAATGACATACGTGGCCAGTTGAATTTTTACAATGTTTTAGTTTTCTTTAAGGCTTTAAGATAACTCTTAAAACAGTATTAATCTTAATCATATCAATATAATAATATACATTTGCAACACTTTATACAAAAACATTGTTAGCTTTTAAAACATCTCTTATTGTTTTCTATGAAGATATATCAATAGTTTTTGGTTTCGTTAATGGTTTTCAAGAAGTTAACCGACAAAAGAATATGTAAAGTTTTTACATAATAAATAAGTTGTTGTTAATTATGCAAGATCAAAATAACAGAACTTCAGCTGTAACTACAAAAACCACAGATACATAAATTAAAGTATGTCTGCATAGACATTATATGGATTGTAGTCAAATACTACCAGACATCGAATTCTCATATGGCATAGGGTTACATCTTAACTTAACTCTGATTAGACACTTATGTACGTAAAAAAAAAACTTTTGAAGATACAGAATGGTTTGAACATCTGTTAGATATCATGTTTTTGAGATTGCTGTCAGTAAGTCTGTACCCCATGCCCCCTTTTCATCAAAAAGTTCAAAACATTATCAGTTTTTACCGCAAATATAGATATACCCTATTATGCTGGTTCATTAATTTCCTGTAGACTATTTGTCTGGGACCCATACAATAAAGAGAAGGAACATTGTGCTTGGCACCCTAAGGGCCTCTTATCCTAGACACACTGTTTAAGATCCTGTTGCTTTGCCTGAAGAAATGATATATATTTTATAACCTTTTCAGGGAAAGATGATACAAATTTGGAGAGAACTTTAAACTGATTGCCATGACATATTGATAGGAGTAGTGTAGTGATCATGAGGCCTCTAGTCCTTTTCAACTCTATAGCTCTCCGAACAGAGATTTTAGTTCCATTAGGAATTCCGTTGGAATCCTTATTTTTTAGAATTACCTGTGGGTTAAAAAAAAAAATCCTGATTCTGATATATTTAACATTATAATTGAATAGGTTAAAATTTTTGCAAATTTGCACAAAATTTTATTAATGGAAGATGTCTATAGAGGGTATTCATTGGAAACCTGAAAAAGATTCTTCCAACAATAAAACTGTAAATTAAATGTTATACATATTGGCATCTGTGTAAAACACAAAGGTTGTTTATGGTATGTTATTAGTGTTTATGGTAGGTTTTCTATAGGCAATCTTGTACTTTCGTCATAGACAAAAGATCAGTTAAAGCCTTCAAGGCACTGATGGAGTCGACATACAATTTTAACAATAGTAGTGTGCTCAGACGTAAAGTGGTAAAAATACAAGAGAATTAAGTAAAAACAAAGCCTTTATTATCTGTTACCACTTAATGATGGAGGTTTTTAAATGTTCCTTCAGTAGCAAAACATTAAACATTAACGGACTTGCTGACAAATAAACAAATAAAACAGAATAAAGTACCATTATACTGGAAATCTGAGAAGATATAAAAAATTCATAACTGCAAAATGCAGACTTTACATTTCAAAGCAATGAGAACTTAATTGCACATTGACACTTTAAATATATATAT